AAAGTGTAAAATATCAGTTTTTTTCCATTTTTCATCTTCAAGGTTGTAATTTTTTCCAGCCAATTTGTACTCAATACCGACACTGAAGAATTATTTATCAAACAAAAAAATCATCGAAATTCAGATGGAAAGCATAAACAACATCCGGTCATACACACACATACATACATACATACATACACACATATTTTGAGATATATACATATAGATACAATATATTATCCCAAAATTAACGAAATCATCAGAACGTATTATATACTGGTGGCCAGCTTATAATATCGCAGGTAGAATTTGTAAAAAAAAAAATGTTCAAAATGTTGATTTGATCTAAAATTCTGTACATCAATTATGTCCTGTAAATTATACCATGGGGGCATTTTAGATTTCATATCATTTACTAATGAGTTTGTTTTTCACTAGAAGCGCCATATTCGAGGTGTGGTCGTGTTGTGGCCTGTTTAGGGGCCAGAAAGACAGACACGGAAGACGAAGGTCGGATGAAAAAAGTATATTAAAGATATATACAAAACAATAGTGTTAGTAATAAGTAGATTAGCACAGCGTCTACTTCTCCACTCCTCTTCACCCTCTTCCACCCGACTTTCGCAGTTGGTATTTATGAGAGGAGGAAGAGTTCATTATACTGTAAGAGGGTTTACCACAACAGGTAGAACAATGCTATCGTGGGAATAATGTACACGCTTCGTTAATGCTTTAAAAGAAAGATATAAAACTTCAAACGGAAACGGACAGCCACGAATTAAAACAAAAGCTGTTTATGAAAGAGATTTAGTACTTTTTTCTTGTTTTGGCTATGTTCCTTCATTAAGATGACGATCATGACCTCCCCACACATTCATTTCCTGTATTATCTGTGGCTTGTGGGTAAAGACAATAGGGCGATTTCCGGTTGGTTTCTGCGTGATGTTGAATTCAGAGCGATCTTACTGACTGGTTACCAGATAAGGTCCGTAGAACTCAGTGTGACCTGTTAATTGCACCATAGCAGGGGTGAGGGAGAAGGGATCAATTCATACATTTCCCTAAGCTATTTGTGTGAATATGAACGTATCAGACTGACAAGGGAATTTTTACTACGTTTGCTGATCACGCCGCCACCCAAATTCCGTACCGATAACAGTTAATCTACCCGCACATTCCAGTGTTAGAAGATCTATGAAAAGTAGATAGACTTGTATTAGTCAGTTTTAGTATATGAGGAACTTTCTCGTGAGGGACGACAAATGAGGGCACGGTATAATAAAAAGGCGCTCAACTTTTATGGACACGCATATGGCTCCCAAGGCCTGCAAGTGTTTTGTAAACATTTAGACAGAGAGAACATGTTGTTAAGCCATTTCGCCGGAGTGGTTGAATATCAGTTGCCACCTGTTTCTGCAATTGGACAGTGTTGTAAACTAGGAAAGGTTATTGAATAGAATAATCAAACGAAGGTTGGTTATGAACGATAATACTTAGAACAAGAACAACACATATAAGATTCGCCAGCGGCGCGTAGAAGTTGTCAAGTGAATTCCACAATGAATCTCCAACTGCAGGATATCTACGAACAACCCACACGGTAAGATATGGCACAAGGCTGAATTTAACCTGGGGTATTCGAGCCAGTAGGCTCGGTCAAAAATTCCCCGTAGACCCCGTGTAAAACGGGATCGGGTAGCTGTTTCCCGAGACGAGACTCTGTCCTTCGACATAGCCTTGTCTGGGAATCATCTCTGCCCGGAGGTAGAGAGTTTTTACCAGTGTAGAATATCTACAAACTGCCCCATGCGATCAGATGCGGCACAAGGCCGAATTTATTGTGGCGGATCCAAGCCCGTAGGCTCGGCCAAAAATCCTCGTAGACTCCGAATCAAACGGTATCGGGTAGATGTTTCCCGAGACGAAACTCTGCCATTCGACATAGCCTCGTCTGGGGATCCTCTCTGCTCGGAGACAGAGATTTTGACCAGCACAGCTGGAGACGAATCTCCGACTGCAGACCAACATACAG